CATTTTCTTAGTCAAACGGTGCCACCATTTGAAAAAAAAAATCCGTATATTTGTTTCTTATAGTCAAACGGTGTCACCGTTTGAAAAAAAAATTCCTATATTTTTTTTTCTTATGGTCAAATGGTGCCACCGTTTAAAAAAAATTCTGAGTCCGTCCCTGACAATTGGTACCTAAACTTTTGAACAGATAAATCCTTGAATTTACAAATATACCACTTTTCAAAAGAAATATACAATTTCATTGGTAATTCTGAAGCACAAAGGGTGATGCCCGATTGATTTGAGTTTGTGCTCCAAATGTCAAAAGTGTCTAGAGGTCTCAAGTTCGAATCCTAGGGGAAATAAAATCCCCTTATGGCCACAAAAGTTCAAATGCGGTGACTCCACGTATGATCACTATGAGATTAGTCGGCGCACATAACAAGTTGGATATGCAGATTAATAAAAAATACCTAAATATTCAAAAAAATCATACAAAAATGATACTAAATCCAATTGAGTTGATTCTTGATCATCTAAAAAGATGAAAAACACCTTTACAACTTTTATTTGAACAAGTTTTTTTCCTAAAAAAATTACTTTTAGAAATAAAAATATATTATTTTGTAACCATACATGTTGTAAAAATGTATGTTGTATCATAAAATTAAGGAAATTATTTTTAAATAAATAAATTCTTAAATTTTATAAAATTAATTAAATAATTGTAATTTATAAATCTGGTTAATATAGTAAAAATTTTGGAAAAATTCTAAAGAAACTTATTATTATTTTGTATTTTGAACAATTAAATACCTAAAATTTTAAACAAATAAATTATTGAACTTATAAATACACCGTTACTCTTATAAATAAACAATACAACTTACCACTTAAACAAAAGAGATGTACCATTTTCATTGGTATTTCCGAAACACACAAGAGTTATCGTAAAAGAATAAGTAGATATATACAAATTATGCCCATCCTGTGATCCTGTATAAAAAAATATGCCAAAAACTGTTGTTATCTTATTTACATATATAACAAAAAATATGCCCAAATGACTAATTAAAAATATCCCAAAAATTGTGTCCATTACAATTATGAAAGTAAAATATATATATTAAAAGAAGAATCATGAGTATTTGAGGTGACATCATAAAATATTGTATTAGATGACCATAATTTATTTAATTGGTTTTAGATAATTCATTGACTTATATGTTTAAAATAAAAGAAGTAAACTATAAATTTGGTCCTTATGGTTTATTGTTTGTAACATTTTTGGTCCCTATAGTTTACAAATTACAATTTTGCCATTGTGGTATGTAAAAATGACCGGTTTTAGTCACTGGCTTTAACAATCTTTAAAAGAACCCGTTAATTCAGGGGGTATCTTAGTCTTTTTACCAATTCCTTTGTCTTTTTTTTACTCAACTAAAAAACTACAAGGACCAAAATTGTATTACTGTTTTTTGGCTCTTTTTTTTCTTTTTGGCTTGTTTCTTATTATTTTATTAAATACTTTTTTATCATTAATTTGATCACACATCCCTCCAAACTAGAGATGGCCAAAAATGGGTCCCGGGCCGGGCCTTAACCGGTTACGGCCGGTCCTAATCAGGACAAAAACCGTCTATAACCGGTCCCTCGATAACCGGTCTCGGTTCCGGTCCCGGTTCCGATGAAAAACACTATAACCGGTCAAGCTTGCCCATAACCGGTTACGCCGTCCGGTCCCGGTTCCGGTCCCATAACCGGTTACGGCCGGTCCTTTGCAAAAAAAATATWTTTTTTTTCAAATTTTTGGTAATTAATAAATTTATATATATATATATATATAACAAAACATATTTTTAAACGTATTTATTTTTAATATGTTATTAATATGTTTGTAATATGTTATTTTTAATATGTTATTAATATGTTTGTAATATGTTATTTTTAATATGTTTTATATAAATACGTTTAAAAATATGTTTTGTTATATATATATATATATATATATATATGCGTTTAATTTTATAAATACGTTTTGTTATATATATACACGTTGACTTTTGTTGACCGGGTCGGGCCGGGCCGGTCCTATAACCGGTTACATAACCGGTCTCGATCCTAAAAAACGTTAAAATCCATAACCGGCGGTCCATACCGGTCCCGGTCCCTCTCTGGTCCCGGTTCCGGTCCTCCGGCGGTTACGGACCGGGCCGGGGCCCATTTGGCCATCTATACTCCAGACCATCCTCATCACCACCATTATCCACCACTAGAAATCTAACCCTAAAATCTAAATCAAATCCAAAATCAAACCCAAATTTAGATCTCAAAATTAAACTCAGATCTTAAATTAAAAGACAATAACCTCAAACCCTAAATAGAAAATCCTACAAATCTAAAAAATAGTGAACTAGAAGTAAGAAACATATCGATTTTGATAGCTTTTTCATCATCCACTATTCCCGTCGATTTCTAAAAGATGAAACTAACCTAAAACCTTAACCCCCTGGTTGTTGTACACCCACCTACCCACTGTAAATCACGGGTATTATTTCAATTTTGTAGGGTGTACCTGATGTCGGAGTTGTAGAGAGAGATCGAAGGAGGGCATTAATCATGAGGGAATTGTAGAGAGAGAGAGAGAGACCATAGGAGGGGGTGTAATCCTCGTGACTATATATTGTGTAATCATCGTTGGTGTTTATGGCAGAAGAAAAACATAGGAGAGGAGGCGGGAGGGATGATGGACACCGACTGCGAGTTTGTGGCCAACGTTCATGTTTTGGTCGGTCAAGATGTTTTTTTGTTCTTCTGTTGTTGCTATGTATATATCTATACATGTATAAATATATTATATAAATATTTTATGTATTATATAATTTAATATACTATAGAAAATTACATTTTTGGTCTATGTAATTTACATACTTATTAAAGAAAAATTTGCTAAAAGTACAAAAAGTCTAAAATACCCTTGAACTAATAGGTTCTTCTAACGATCGTTAAAACGAGAGACCAAATCTGGTCGTTTTTGCAATACTACAAAGGCAAAATTGTAAATTTTAAACTATATGGACCAAAAGCTTTACAAACGATAAACCACATGGACCACATTTGTAGTTTAAATCCAAAACTATATAGATCCTTGCCGAAACACGATGCGCACCGTTATGTGCGTTAACTGCCTAAACGAGAACGACAATCCATTAAGAACTAAGAAATCTTTTACATATTTAAAAAACCATCCATAGGATACAAGTGATTATACCACATGATAAAAGGGTCAATGGCACAAAAAAATGGTCAAAAAATAAAAGAAAAAACGGTCATATGACTATTCCAATGGTTATAAAAAACGTAACATTTTTTTTGAAAAAATTGGGCCCATAACCGAGCCCGGCCTTGTTTTTTTGATGAAAAGTGTAACTAGTTCTTAACCGACGGTCCCAAATGGTCCTAGCCAGGCCGGTCCCAGTCCTTTACGGGGCCTATTTGGCCATCTCTGCCTCCTGTGGACCCGCTCGACTTTTTCCACAAAATAATCCTTTTGAGGTATAATAGGTGCACCAACTAAACTTTGATGGTGCTTTAGGATATCAGAAAATATAGGAACATCAACCAAATACCCGAAAAAGCACCTTGAAGTCGATCAAAAAACCAAAAAGTCTTTCGAAATTGATCAAAAAACTTAAAAATTCCTCAAAATTAGGCATGAGAATGAGATCAGCCCCATTGGTTAACCTAATGTATCCACCCCTGATGATGAGGTGGTTTCCCCGCAAAACCGTGGACCAGGGAGGGAACGGGGATCCTCAATAATTAAAAACCGGAGATGAAGACGAAGCCGAGTAACATGATTCCTGGCTTGTGTATAATTTATTACTTGTGTTACGTTTTTTTAGATAAAAAAATGGAAAGCCGAAAGCGTTTGATCAAACAATTACGTACGATATTGTGATTTAGTTCACATTAAATATTTGATATACTTTATAAAAGCAGAATTTTAGAAAAATACGAGATATAAACACGAATCATTACTGAATGAATATGGTGTTTTATACATTTGGTTTAAAATATCTCACATAAACGGAAAAAAAGTTCTCGATTCCCCTGTTTGGGACAAAGATGTGAATGTGATCATATTCAGCTGGAGAAACGGAAACGGGGACAGAGATTGGGATTGGGGATGGGGAATGAGGTCCCCAACGCATTCTCCATGCCTAACTGAAATCAACCAAAAAACTTTGACAATCTCTTGAAACAATGAACTTCGGCTAAAAACAAATCAGACGACTTTGTGGACCTTTGATCTACCTTAAGGTAGTGTTTGGTATGCAGACTGGACAAGACAGGACGGGACGGAACGGGACGGGACTAATTGTTTGTCCTGTGTTTGGTACGAATGATGATATTGACCAAGAGTCTTACCCGATAAATATTTACCAGATAAAAATGTTGTATATGTTGCCTTTTTAATAGATTAAAATCTTATCTGATAAGTTAAGTGGACATGTTAAATTTTATCGGTGAGGATAAGAGCTTGATTTAATTTTGTTTATATTTTTTTTGATTTAAGTAAATTTTTATGTTAATAAATACATGCGAAAAAACATTATGTCAAACGCCATTAACATCCGTCGTCTTTGGTAATTCAATTACCTGCTGGAAACCCTCGATGAAACAGCAAAATCACAAGATTTTTCTCATGATTTTAATTAAAAACTAAGTTCATTTGCTCCAAAATCACTGCTACAAAAACTGATTTTGTTACGAATGATCAATGGTTGAAGACCTTCCACATGGATTGAAGGTAACCCCTTACACAATTCCGACAATTTCGGAGGGTATGATCAGATCAACACAATCGCTTCACTTTTTACCGTTTCCATATTCACCGGAAAATATCACAATATCGCCGACGGTTTGTTTTCCGGTATCTGGTTTTTTCGAGTGTTATAAAAATTTCAGGGTTTTGTTTCTCTATCTCTAAGATCATAATATACATACAGTAACCTTAAATGTATAGTAGTATGGATGAGGACGAAGGCTATGATGAATCATCGGTGGTGTCTTCCATGTTGTGGGTTCGTAACCTTCGTCGGTACATCAAATCGGATCCTGGCATTAGCTCTGAAGCTATGATGGGTATTGTAAAAGTTCTTATCAGTTATCCCTAATTATGTTATTGGTTAATCTCTATTCGCCATTAAATGGATAAATATGCCTTTTAGGATCTGTCAATTTGGTGTTTGTGTGCTTTGATTTGAATCAATAATCAACAATGTGGCATACACACTTTATTATACATCCATTTTGATATATTTGTTCATTGGTTTTTTCGTGATTGTGGGTTTTGTTTGTCTTCTGCATTCATGAAACAAGGCTATGGCGATTCTTGGGTCCGTTGGGTCCCGTTTGGTTTGTAGGATTGTTGGGATTTGAAATCATCTTATTTCTTTGAAACATAGGATTTTGAAGTCCCATGGATGGTTGGGATTTCAAGTAATTTTGAAGGATTTGTATATAATCCCTCCATGAAATTCCAATCCCCTCAACAAAATCCAAATCCTTCCAAACCATTCCGTCAAACCAAATGCCCCCTTAGGTCCTGTTTTGTTTGGTTTGGAGGATTGGATTGGATTCTGAGAATTTGGAATTGAATTTCATTATAAATTTCCAATCTCATGTTTGGTTTGAAGGATTTCCTGGATTTGAAACAAACTTAGGATTTTGAAATCGGGGGTGCTTGATATTTCAAGGGATCTCTACAATAATGTTTTATAAAATGTTAAAACATTTATTTTGTAATAATCAATTAAGAAAAATATAATTTAATTATTTTTATAATTATTTGTAATTTGCTTTTATAAATTATTTATAGAGGATGGAATCCAATTCCATTCTGAATCCTGCGGACCAAACACACCAAAATTCCAAATTCTTTCAAATCCAAATCCCTCAGATTCCGAATCTCTTTACGCAATCCAAATCCCTGAAAACCATTCCATCAAACCAAACACCCCAAGTCCCACAACTAGAATTGGATCATATCCCTTATCTCCTCAAGGGTTGGTTGGAGAATAACTAATGGTTCCACATATTCTAACATGATAGCAAAGCAAGGTCTTAGAGCCAAGATCTAGAGCAACTAGACTCTCGGTGGCAATATGTACTTGTCTAGCCCTTTCACGACACTCTGGGACAATGTGTCTGTCTAGCGTCCATTACAGTGTGTTAGAGTCCCTCATATGCTAGACTTGGAGCATTTCTCTTTATATGTTGGAACCTTCTTTCTCTTCTCAAGGGCTCTTTTGGAGATTAATATTTGGGTTCCACGTATTCTATTAGTGACTCATTTAGTGGTTCCTAAAACAAATGTACCTGTTTATGTTATTTTCATCTGGTAAATCTCGTATTTCCTTGCAGAACTTGAAATAAGAAGAATTTTGCTTAATATTTTCAAGGAGAAGCATCGAAAGAATGCAGAAGCTGGCATAATCCCAAGTTTCTATAAGAAGGTTTTGATCACCATTGTTTGCTTTCTTGTTAGTCCACAGTCTTTAAGGGGCCGTTTACCAAACGCTTACCCGGGTAAGCGCTTACTAAGTCACATTACCTTACAGGATGAATATGGTAAGGACCAAGAATCTTACCCGGTAAGAGGGAGAGGGAGACAAGGACCGAGAGTCTTACCTGGTAAGTGAGGGAGACGACTCTTACCATGGTAAGCGCTTACTGGGTAAACTTTTGCATACGATGTCGTTTTGGTGGACTAAAGTCTTACCTGGTATGTAAGTGGTAGTGTTAAATTTTACCGATGAACGCTTACCGGATAAATGTTTGGTAAACGGCCCTAAGTTTCTATAAGAAGGTTTTGATCACCATTGTTTGGCCAGTTTTTGATAAATTTGTGATCTTTTTCGTTCAGAAACCCGAGGATGGTTCCATTAGCCATACGGTTCAGAGGTTGGCAAAATATCGTTTTCTAAAGGTACCTGCCTCCACTTTGCAGAGAAAAGAGTCTCATGCTATAATAACACCTTGACCATAACGGATTGAGAATTATTTCCTTAATATGTATCAACTCTTGTTTGTTTATCTCAAACAGCAAAGATGTCAAATTCATTTACCGTTAGTTTCTGGTTTGTTTCTTGTTGTAGCGGGGTTTAGAGATATATAATCGCTTACCGTTTGTTGATGCAGAAGCAATCTGATATTTTGCTAGACGCCGATGATTTGGATGCTATGTGGCTTTGCTTAAGAGAAAATTGTGTGGTTGATGAAGCCACTGGTTCCGAAAGGGTAACTTTTCAAACTCTCACATATATTTGCTAAATTTAGCATTTTTTTGGTAGTGGGTGATCCTAGGCTTCGCCCAGACTAATCCCACTGCCAGTCGCGACTTTAGGCTTCGCCCACAGCCCTGAGGTAAATCTCATAGTGGCCACAAGCGCATATGTAGAAGCAGGATTCGAACCCTAGTTGATTTTAGGATTCGAACCCTAGTTGATTTTATCATCCACTTGTCTTTATCCACCATGCTACCAAACCTTGTGGTTAAAAGGCTTGTTATCACTGTAGTTTTATTATTTTTGATCTTTTTTGTGATCATTTTGATATCATTTACATATATGGAATCTTAGCCACTCTTTGTTTACTTATCTATAATATACCGGTTCCTTATTTCTCTTGGTTCAACCAATGTAGGTGGGTTACGAAGACTTCTGCCAAATTGCGTCTCTATGTACTGAACAAATTGGCTCAAAGTGTCGTCGTTTCTTCAACCCTTCAAATTTTATGAAGTTTGAAAAAGATGAATCAGGAAGAATTTCCATTCTATCTTTTTATCTGTACGCGATGCGCACGGTGAAGTTTTTTTTCCAGGGTTTATCTCTTTTATTCTTTTTAACACTATTTGAATGGGAAGATTATATAGATAGGTACGACATACAACAGTGGGAGGTTCAAATGAGAATGCTAAATATCGTGAGAATGTAAGAAGGGAAGATTCATATGTGAATCATTGAAAAAATCCATTGGAATATGCATATGTGAACTCATATGAATAATATGTAACGCCTAGATTTTTTTTTGGATTTTTTCAGTGATTCACATATGAACCTTTCTTTCTTACCTTCTCACGATATTTAGCCTTCTTATTTGAACTGCACCCACATAAAAATATGTAGATACATATTCTTTTTTCACCCCCATTGCAATAATTTGTGTCTTCCTATACATACAGGTTTCTCTTACTCAGGCCAGAATCGATATGAGTGAACTTGATGAGGATTCTGATGGTTTCCTTCAACCTCATGTACGTACCTCGCCATAGTTTGTTCCTAATGAATTACTCGAAAATAATCTTGTTTCTTTCAAAACTTTGGCTTTATTTTGTTTTTTGTAAACATCATAAGAAAATCTTACGGTTGTTTGGTTGGTTTTTCATTAAGTCCTATAGGAATAGAGTGGTCTGTGTGGATTAATCTGTCTGTATAGATTGAGAAGGTTTTAGTTTGAGAGGGTTTTTTCATAGACGGAAGTAATGTGTTCTTTAATTTGGAGGGGCAGGTTTGGAAAAAAGAAACTTGGCTTTCTACATAAAACTCCCCCTAGAGCATACTGAATAAGACGCTTTTTATATCATCAAGCCACTACCAAACAATCATGTATAGCTGACCGAATAAGCTGTGAGTCCCATTCCGCTAATTAAGCTGCTAACAAACAGGCCCTTATTTAAACTTGCTGCCAGGAAATGGAGGCTTATATAAGAGGTCTTATTCCTAACTTGGCTCAGCTCCGCGATATGCCTGCAGCATTTGTTCAAATGTATTGCCACATAGCTGCACACAAATTCTTCTTCTTTTGTGACCCCAGTAGGCGAGGTTTGTTTCTTTTTCCTTTTGGATTCTGGTATTTTGGGACCTATGGGATCGTTCAAGATAGTCTTTCGCAAGTTTGAACCGTTACAAAAAGAAAATATGGTTTAGACCATGTAGTCTTTACGTTCCCCTTATATCCATTTCTTCAATTTTGCAGCGTTCTTTGTCTCTAGGGATTTTCAGTGTTCATCTTTGAGGAATTATTTTATTCACAGGGAAGGCTTGCATAAAGAAGATTTTGCTCAGCAATTGTCTTCAAGAACTAATGGAACTGCACCAGGTATTGTCAACTGAATCCTTTCTTTCTGGAATTTGAAATTCTGATCTTCCGCACCAAATGATATTCATTGTGAATGGACTTCTTGTTATTCATTGTAAATAATTGTAAGTCCAAAGATGCAGAGTTACTATTCAAGTAGGAGAAAAGGATCATTCTTTACACAGAATAGTGTGTGAAATTGGTTCATTTCACAAATGTTAAATGGTCACGATGAAAAGGATTCGCTGTTTACTACGAAAACTACAGTCTCTTTCTCTCTCTCACACACACATATATAGTAGAGGAAGGTTCATTTAGGAACCTAGGAACCACCTATTTTATGTAGTATTCATGATGAATAACCTTTTATAATAATGAATATTATTCATCATGAATATCTGTCACGACATTCATCATGAATATCTGTCACGACATTCATCATGAATATTTATCACGTTTATTCATCATGAATACAACACAAAATAGGTGGTTCTTGGGTTCCTTAAATATTTAAGGTTCCTAAATGAACCTACCCCATGTATAGTATATATATGCATATATGTGTGTGTGTGTGTATTCCCCAAAAGTTTCATATAAATGCACAGAGGAGCACATAAAAGTGTGCTAAATTTGGTCTTCTGCTTACTGTAGTATGAAGCGAGTAATAATAGTTTGATACATTCATGCTACCTTTAATCTGTATTCTTGCGAACCTTTGTGCTTTCATAATGTCGATCTTTATGGCAAATTTTCCATTAGTTCCTAAATGTTTGCTTGGTGGATTTTTCTCGATGTTAATCATAATAGGAAAATGATGGAGAAGGTGATACTGACCAGAATGATAACTGGTTTTCAGTAGCATCTGCACAGCGTATATGTGGTGAGCTCATCTAATATCTGATTTCAACACACATATGGTGCTTCATTTATCTTTTTATTTTTGGATATTTATGGATGTCCGGGCTAGCTTACACGCACCTCGACTAATCCCATGGGCCCTAAAGATAACAGCCAGGAAATCCCAGTGGCCCCAAGGAGACTTGAACTGGCGACCTATGGGGAGGATCCCCAAGGCCTAGCCTTTATTTGCCGGTTGAGTTGACCCTCGAGGTTTCCCTTATGGAGTTGGTATTGCATAGCTAGAGGGAAGTTCCTTTAGGAACCCAAACTTGATTAGGAACCCGAGAGCCGTCCACAATGCGCCACACGTTCCTCTTCAGGATGAATAGTCATCATGAATAACATATTCATCATAAATATCATATTTAAGATGAATATTCATCATGAATAACATAGGTTATTCATCATGAATCATACATTCTGACATTCATGATGAATATGGAAGTGTAACTCATCATGAATCACACATTCATTTGATGAATATGTTACAGCATTTATGATGAATAACACGTCCATATTTCTGATGAATATGTCATGTTTCACGCTGTGGGCGGTTCCTGGGATCCTAATCAATCTCAGGTTTCCAACCGAACCTCCCCAGCATTTATGATGAATAACACATCCTTATTTTTTATGAATATGCCATGTGTCACACTGTGGGCGGTTCCCAGGTTCCTAATCAATTTTAGGATTTTAGGTTCCGTTCGCATAGCTAATATGGGACAGATTGTCGTACAAATGTTGCATCTTTTTAAATGAAACTGTATAGAAATTTGGCTGTTGTCTCTGGCTTATGATTCATATGATTATGGACAGATACGTTTCTGGATCTTGATAAAGACACAAATGGCACATTAGGCAAGGACGAACTTCGAGCTTATGCAGAGGGGTCCCTGACGGATATTTTTATTGAGAGAGGTAATCATTCTTGCATAAATGCCGAAAAAATGTGCCACATTTTCAGGAACTAATAATTTTGGAGAACTGGTAGATTCTCCTTCTATGCCGTTATATACACATATGGTTTTGCACAAGTCAGGGTCTTCACGAAAATAGTTGCTCTACCCTTTGGGACAGAGGACACGTCTATGTGTACATTTACCCCACCCCCCAAGACCTTGCTTTCGATTGGGATATGCTGGATTCGTTTGGTTTGGTCTGGTTCTTATGATTTGGCATAAATGTCTTCTTATCTTCTCGTTTTTGGTCGTGAAGCTTTTGATGAGCATGTCCGCCATGGCAAAACTGTAATCGGTCTTGCTTGGGAGATGGACTTTGAGAGTTTTCTTGATTTCGTTCTTGCCCTAGAGAACAAAGATACCCCGGAAGGGTTAACATATCTATTCCGGTGTCTTGATCTGCATGGAAGAGGATACCTTACAGCCGCTGATATTCATATTCTATTTAGGTAAGGCCGGAATACATCCTACCCTTCCCAGATCCTGCCTCTGGGTGAGATATAATGGGTTTGTTTGGGTTTTCTACTACATATATTTTATGGTTTGAATCCTCTATATTATGCTAGGGGGAATTCAAATGAGAACCATAAATATTTTTAAAACTTCTTGTATAATTCACGATGAATAACCATGGATTTTCATAATTCATCATGCATTTTAAGTATGGATATAATGCATTTTCATCATGAATATAATGCATTTTTACGATGAAATCATGTATTTTCATTATGAATATTAATATCTATCACGACATTCATCATGAATAAAACAGGAATAGTTGGTCCAAATAGAAACCATGAAAATTTGAAATTTCATGTATTATTCATGATGAATATCCTTGAATAATCATGGATTTTCATAATTCATCATGCATCTTCATCATGAATATAATGCATTTTTATGATGAATATCATGTATTTTCATTATGAATATCTCTCACGACATTCATCATGAATAAAACAGGAATAGTTGGTTCAAATGAGAACCATGAAAATTTGAATACTTCATGTATTATTCATGATGAATAACCTTGAATAATCATGGATTTTCACAAATCATCGTGCATTGTCATAATGAATATAATGTATTTTTATTATGAATATCTATCATGACATTCATCATGAATAAAACAGGAATAGTTGGTTCACCGATTCTCAAATATTTACAGTTCTCATTTGAACTTGCCCTTATTGTGTTATATAAAAACTAACTAGAGAAGACACGCCTTCTCCAAATCCAAATAGGGTACCAACTAACCAGTGGCAAAACGGTTTTCGTGTTTTTGGATGAATCATGCAGGTACGTGCGTGAGAAATGGATCCAGGTAGGAAATTACGAATTATGCACGGAGGATGTTCGTGATGAAATATGGGATATGGTGAGACCGGCTGATCCTCTAAGAATCACACTCTCCGATATGTTGGCCTGCAAACAAGGTGGTACCATAGCGAGTATACTCATAGATGTCCGTGGCTTCTGGGCTCATGACAATAGAGAAAACCTTCTTCAAGAGGACGAAGAACCACTCGATATTGATATGACTCGCAACTAGTTTTATATCGCCTAAAATGCAAATCATTGGTTAATGGGTGTTCGGGTATGCATCGGTTGTTTGAATTTTCAAGTTGTAATAATTACTTTTGACGTGTTTAGCAAATTCTAATGATTTAATAAAGTAAAAGTTTTTCAGATCGGAGTTAGGGGTTACGCTTATCACAGATAAACTAAGAGGGAGGGGAGATTGAGGTGGTTTGAGCATGTTTGCCGGAGATAGTTTAGACCACCGGTGAGGGAAGTGGAAAGTGTGACGGTTGTGGGTGAGATGGAGGGATAGGCCTAGGAGAACGTTGGTTGACCAACCGAGGATGCACATGACAGTTTTAGACATTTCCGAGTTCATTAATTCTAATAGGGGTTCTTAGGAGCATATGACTGTAGTGACCGATTTTTAGTAGGATTGGGTTTTGAGAGGCAAATAGGCTTCCGAAAAGTTTAGCCAATAAGATGTGGCGTCAGGTCTATTTCCTTCTGATTTAAGCTCTCATGTTTGGAGGGATGTTTTCCGAAGATGTTCCGCTTATACAAGAATGTAATTGATAAGACGTGCACTCCCCATACCTCACTTTCAGGTGGTTTATTTTGTTTGGTATGGTTTGGTTAAGCCAATTCTAATTATTTAAGAAGGTAACAGATAAAATAAGAGTACATCAGTGATTTTATGTTTATCCATTATTGGTTTATGTTGTAATTAGTATCAAATTAATTATTAAAAATGGATTATTTCAGTTTTAAATAACCTAAACAAACGAGGCGAATATATCTCATCTAAATGCAGGGGTGTGGAGGGAAGGTATGCAAACATGACCTCTATCCAATGTTTGACTCGACTCGTTCGGAAACTCGATTAAACTTTTTGAAGTAGAGTTGAATCGAGTCGAGCCATTCGAGCAAACATAGAACCCATTACATGATACGAGTTTTCTTAATTTTGAATTAGACTCGACACTTGGACCACGGGTGTTGAGATATCCTCGTGGTGGCCATTAATGACTATGGCGTTGTCGTAAAGGCTAAGGTCAAGCCAAATAGGAGACATAGGATGCATCCAATAGCCTTATACTAAGTGGATAGAGCCCATTACTGGATAGAGCCAAATACCAGAACTAAATTGGTTACCGAGGAATGGATGGTGTTGTACCTGACATTGATATTTTTAATGTGTGAGAATCTGAGTTAAAGTGAGAAATCTTTAAAATAAAAAAAAAATTCTGAACCTTGATATTTTTAATGTCAAAATGTCGTCGGTTTTGTTGAGTCGATAATTCCAAAACGTGCTTCCGAACAAAATTACCTAACATGCGTTTGTAAATCGGAACCCAAAAGGGATATTCAAATCGGAATTGAGGTATACAAGTCTCCACTCTTGCGAACGCCGGCGACTACCTGATCAGGACGTTTTCTCGAATTCGTTGATTTTGTGTGCAAAGTGTTCTGGTTTGTTAGTGTCAGGATGGAAGTTGCCGATGCGCCAATCCGAGTTCAGTCGATTGCCCAAGAGGATCGAAAAGTAGTGGTGCCGCCGGAGTACATACAACCACCGGAGAACCGACCTAGCAAACTTGGTAACGGGAACGCCACTGATCATAAGATCCCCATGATAGACCTTGGCGGTGACAAGGATGTGAACCTTCTGTGTGAGGAGATTGGGCGAGCCTGCAGAGAGTGGGGCGCCTTTCACGTGGCTAACCATGGTGTTCCTATCGCATTGCTGGATGAAATAAGGAAAGCTGGTACCTCCTTCTTTGAAGAGCTGCCCATGGCGGAAAAGCTTCGTTACTCGTGTGATCCTAATTCTCCTGCTTCTGAAGGCTACGGAAGTCGCATGCTAGTTGCATCTGACGATGCCGTCTTAGATTGGAGAGATTTCTTTGATCATCACACTTTCCCTCTTTCTCGGCGTCATCTTTCTCGATGGCCCCATTCCCCTCCTAATTACAGGTTTAGCATCTAATCCCTATTTTCATTGTTTAACACCATTCCAATTCCATTGAAATCCTTTAAGTTCAATGAACCAAACAGCCCCTAGTTAGTTCAATCATTTAATAAATTGATCTTGGGGTTTACATCTGTTTACATGAATGTAAGGAACCCTAATTAGGCTTAGGGAACAATAAAGTGGATGGAAGACCAAGTACCTTTTGGTAGCGTTTGGTATGCAAACATGATTGGACAGGACAAGACAATAGGGTAGGTGCAGTCTGGATATGACATGACAAGATTGGTTGAACAAGTTATCTGTTTAGTGTTTGGTACGACTAGGACCGGACAAGACAAAAGTAGACAAGTTGCCCCTAATAAGCTACATAAATTGACTAAAATACACCAACTTCCCAATTACTGATAATAAACCCTTATCACACAATCGCTACTTCATCGAACATATAAAACCAAAATAATGTATTCTGACATAATTCTGTTTCATATTTTGATCTTTCACCCTGTTTCAATATGTTCTACTCTTTTGGTCGCTCAAGAAAGTAGAGTTTGTTACATTTCTAATGCTGAAGTATTACCAGGGAAGTTATTGCAGAGTACAGTGATCAAATGAAGGTCCTTGCTGAGAAGCTCTTGGGCTTAATCTCAACTAGCTTAGGCTTATCATCTTCCTTCATCGAAGAGGCCATGGGGGAATTGTACCAAAACATCACTATCAGTTATTACCCGTCATGCCCTCAGCCTGAACTTACCCTTGGCTTGCAATCTCACTCCGATATGGGTTTCATCACCCTTCTCATCCAAGACAAGGTTGCAGGTCTTCAAGTATCCAAGGATGGTGAATGGGTTACTGTTGATCCTGTATCTCATGCCATCTTAGTGATTTTGGGTGATCAAACAGAGGTAATACTTGTTTATATATATATCTAGTAGTACCCACTACAACAAAATCGGGTTTATTTGGGCAAAGTCACTCACCCCCTTTGCCAACTGAATTGCAAGCTAGAGGCAGAAAATGTCCGAGCGTCCTAATAGACTACTTTATATGACTTATAGGACCAAACACTTGCTTGTCCTATCTAAGGGTGTAGTAATAAGTTTATTTTGGGTGTCCTAAAAAGCTTCTTAGGACACTTTTGACAATGTCCTATTAGCCTTTTTATAGGACACTATTTGAAGAAAAATGTCTTATAAAACAGGTTTTCCTATAAAAAAGATGTGTAAAAGTGTCTTATAAAAGGGCTAATAGTACACTTTGTTTCAAAAGTAACCTAAAAAGTTTGTGAAGACGCTCTATAAACTTATTACAACACTTTTAGATAGGACAACACACACAAAGGTTTGGTCCTATAAAGTCATCTATGAGGACACTTAAAACACCTTTGGGTCCTACAAAACTCGATTTTGTTGTAGTGCATGATGCTAATTTCTTTGCACACTTATATCTTATTGTTTGGCCAAGTGATGCGTTTCTTGTTGTTTGGATTTATCTTTTATCAAATGTGTGCAACTTAAAGTAAAGTTGACAACAAGATAGCATAAGCTCAATAAGCAATCTGGTCAACTTGCATTGACCACATCGGTCTGCCAATATCCGGATCAATGAACACGTTTCGTGAGTGAAATTGCGGGCCAAATTTCGTTTGAACTTTGAACAAGCTACAAAGTAGCTAAAGTAGAACACTTGACACAGTAAAATTGGCATAACTAAGGGCCTGTTTGTTAGCAGTTAAAAGAGCTTAAGGGACTCGCAACGTATTGGGTCAGCTATACAAGACTGTTTGGTAATGGCTTGATGATATAGAAAGTGGCTTATTCAGTAAGCTTCTAGGGGGGGAGTTTTATGCAGAAAGCCAAGTTTTTTTCACACCTGGGCCTCCCAATTAAAAAACACGCTCCTTCCATCTATGAAAAAACTCTCTCAAACAAAAACCTTCCAAATACAGACGGATTAATCCACATAGACAACTTTTATCCGTACAGGACTTAATGGAAAATCAACCAAACAACCTCTAAGAATTTATCTTTTAGTAACAATACATGATTTTGTTTTTATTAACATATTTGAATTTCCGTTAACGCCCTTGTCCTCCGGTCATGATGCTTTTTCTTCAAGTGTTAGGGTGTTCGTGTTCAGGTCTAATGCAAGGTAGACGTAAATTGATAGAAATAAGAAAGAACAAATGATATAGAAATAATGAACATAAATAGAGTTCATGTTCGACTTCCATAGATAAGATTCTCATCGTCTATAATGATAGATGAAAGATTTTCTAGATTCTTATTTATCTAAGGTTACACTTATCACTTATACTTTTGCACAAGTCAGGTCTTCATGGAAACAACCGCTCTAACTTTTGGGGCAGAGGACATGTCTGCATACATCTCAACCCCACCCTACTTTTGAGTGGGTTGTATTGGGTTCATCGGTTTAGTTTTGTTCGGTTCTATCAGTGCGTAACTTGGGTCCTGAATGCAGATCATAACAAATGGAATTTACAAGAGTTCTCAGCATCGGGCCATAACAAATGCCAATAGAGCAAGGCTTTCGGTTGCTACATTCCATGACCCTGCCAAGACAATGTCGGTATCACCGGCGTTCAAGCCTCCTCGATATCGTCAAGTTATATATGGTGACTATGTTTCCTCGTGGTACACGAAAGGCCCAAATGGAAAAAGGAATATCGACGCTCTCCTCATTTAATTTGCCTCTGGAAATGGTTATAACAACTGTTTTTTCATGTTAAAATATAGGGCTTCGGCTTTTTTGTGCATCTCATTTGTAGATAAGTCGACTTTGAACTTTTCCTTCTTGGTTCCTGTCATTCCATGTCGAAATGATTTTATGGAACACGATATAAAGTTTCATACGATATTGTTGAATGTCTCAAAGGGTGTGGATTACGTTGTTTGTTTACCCTTTTAATAGTTTCATTAAAAGACATTCTCTGAATTGTTAAAAGGTGAATCTTGTTTGGCAAAAAAAAATCTGGCTCTTAATGGTTCTAAAACCCTCTGAATGATTTTGTATCATGGATCTCCTTTAACCATTCAGCACCCTAATTTCGTTGTATATAATTGTCAAACAATTATATTTCATTTTGCATTATATCACGAGAGTTTCTTAATTATTCTGACCACTTAATGTTCTGTACCAAACCATTCAGCAACTGTCAAACAACCCCTTATGTATTCAACGGTGTGTGGTCGATAAATAGGTTATTCAAGACGATAGATAAAGATAAGATAGTCGATTGTTCTTTCATAAGAGTGGTCTTTGTTGATAAAGAAATAAAGAGAACATTCATATTGAGCGGGGCAACATTCGACTAAAGTGCGGATGTGGGACTCGTGGAATCACAAAAAGAACCCGAGACCTCCAAGGATTCAAGACATTTTGTATAATCATACAAAATGGAATTTATGATTATACAAAACTGTAGTGCCTCCTGATACTTAAACATTGGCCTATGATTTTATCTGTTCCTTCTTACCCTAAAAAAGTTACGTCTTTGAATAGGTAACCATTTTTCAGCCAAGATCAGATATGTTATGTTAAGAATAAGGAATTCTCAGTTTTGGTACATAGACCAGATAAAAACTGTATCCCCCACCCCGGGGGGGTGGGGGGAGGGGGGGGTACTTGAACATTGGGTTGAGGAATCTTATAACCCCTTCTTACTTTGAAAAAGTAGGGTCAACTTATGTCCTTGAATTGATAACCATCTTTCTTCCACCCTAACGCTAAATCTGCTATGTTGCCTTGAGTAACGTAATGTACKTGAAAGAAGGTGTGGACCACTTTGCCAATAGGCACCGAACCTAAACTACTAAGAATAACCGAGCATAAAAAGTGGTACATTTCTTAGAACTGTTTTATATCATAAATTTTTATAATTTTTTGAGAGATGCATATTAAAGTATCATTTCATAGACTAACTTTTATAAATAGAAAAGAATTAATGATGGATTGATTAGAAACGTTATGCGTACACGATTTTACCAATTGTGAACACCTAATAACAATATTGAAATTTTACTGAGGATTTTTAATATTGTTTTTTCAGGTCTATAGATTAGTCAAGGTATGTATAAGTTGGTCTAGACATCCATAGCCAACAAGAAAAAATTATATAAAATATAACTGTTAAATTATCATAAAAAAACATATATTATTCCTTTCATTTTACAATATATTTTTTTAATGTCATAAATTAAATAGTTTAGACTTTTGAGTTTGGAGGTTTACTGATTGTGTATGGATTGAGAAGGTTTTTACTTCGGAAGTTTTTTTTTCATAGATGAAAGTAGCATGCTTTTTAATAGGGAATAGTAGGTTTGGAAAAAAAAAACTTGCTTTTTGTATAAAGCTCTGTCCTAAAAGTTTATTGAATAAGTCATTTTCTATATAATTAAGCCAATACCAAACAATCAAATATAGCTGATCGAATAAAATGTGAGTCTCATTAAACTCATTAAGCTACTAATAAACAAGTCATTAATGTTTTGCCAAAAATCTATTTTATTGATCGAAAATCTTACCCGATAAGTATTTTGTTACACCTGATTATAAACAAGTTAGGAGCTGTTTACCCAGGTAAACATTTACCAAATTAGATTACTTTACCAGATGTATGACAAAGATAAATAACAAGTAAGAGCAAAAGGAAGGACCGAGAGTCTTACCACAAATAATACTTATCAAGTAAATTGTTGTATAAGATACCGTTTTGCTAGATTAAATCTTATCTGATAATTAATTGAATGTTATCCCTAAACACTTACCCAAATAAACGTTAACAATCGACGAATATGGAGATAATTAGATAACGGGGAAAAAAAGCCAAAATAAAGGAGAGTTTTTCGTAAAACAAACATAAGAAAATTTCCAAGTATAACAAGGGGAAAGAAGAGAGAGAGAGAGAGATTGAAACTTCGATTTGCTCGAACCCTGATTAGCTGAAATCGGTATAATCTCGATCGTGAAAAGGTATGCGATTATCATCCTGAAATTGTCAATTTGCTTCTAGATATGTCTATTTCTGTATCTCCTCTCACACTTGTTGGGGATCTCGATTTCTCCTTGATGATGTTGTTGTTGCTTTCTTTGATTCGATCTTTATATCTGTTTGTATATGTTGATTAATCGAATTAATCTTTGCAATAGAGGAAAGTGTAATTTTATGATTTATGAATCGTCTTTTTCTGTTGTGTTTGTGCTGCAGAAACTAAGTTGTTTTCTCGTTGATTCCGATTCCTGGTAACATCCGGTACGGCTTACAGTTCAGTTTTTGTTTTCCGATGCTGTTTTTAGTCTTGTGATGCTTTAGCTGTTTTATATATCTCATTGATCTGATTAGTGTTTATTGCTCACGCATAATGAAATTTCTTTTTCTTTTGAAGTTTTTGTCAAGAACAATTGGGTATTCAAACACAACATGCACGCGAACACATATGCATAGCATCTTATTTGGAGTTGTCTTAACTCTTATCAATGTTGACTGTCCTATCAGTTGTGGAATTTTATTGAAGATTTTTGTTTTGCAGCTGCAAAGAATGGCCTCCTCAGCTGTTGCAAAATCGTGTAGTGATAATAGTACTAGTTCCAGTCAGGTATCACCTGCTATGTTGGTACAGGAAAAGGGAAGTAGGAATAAGAGGAAATTCAGAGCTGATCCGCCTCCTCTAACTGATCCAAACAAAACAATTTCTCCGTCTCAGAATGATTATCTGCGTTATGAATTTTCTGCTGAAAATTTTGTGAGTCAAGAGCACTCTAACGGGTGTGACATGTGCAGTTTCAGTCATGAGAATACAGATCCTGTTGAACTTGACCTACGGCTCTCTTGCTCGGTAGGAGTAGGATCAGCTGAGGTTGGGAGTAATCATAATAGAGTGGAGATAGAAGCAAGTGATGAATATCATGATGCTGATTGGAGTGACCTTACTGAATCTCAGCTAGAAGAACTTGTTCTAGCAAACTTGGATACAATTTTCAAGAGTGCCATCAAGAAAATAGTTTCTTTTGGGTACACCAAAGAAGTTGCTACTAAGGCTGTCTTAAGGTCTGGCCTTTGTTATGGTTGTAAAGATGCTGTGTCAAACATCGTCAACAACACTTTGGTTTTTCTTAGAAATGGCCAAGAGGTTGATTCATCGAGGGAGCATCATTTTGAAGATCTGCAGCAGATGGAGAAGTACATATTGGCCGAACTGGTCTGCGTCGTTCGTGAAGTCAGGCCTTTCTTCAGCACTGGGGATGCAATGTGGTGCTTGTTGGTATCTGACATGAACATCTCTCATGCTTGCACCATGGATAGCGAGACATTGTGTAGTTTAGTTGGTGATGGGGCTTCAAACGGTTGTATCTCTGATTCTGTTGAAACACAACTAAAGAAGGAAGCTAATAGTACAGGAAATCCTCAGAGTCCCTGTAAACCTACTCATTCTTCCCTTTGTGCCCATAGTTCACCTTTAGAAGCACCTGTGATGGCCTCTATAGCTTGTGGACATAATTCTATGTCTGGGGCACCGACTAAGGCAGAAGTTCCTCAATCAAAACCAAAGGCTCCCTTTGTTTTAAATAGATTTGCATCAGAGAAAGAGAACCGTGACTCTACATATCGGATGATGAGTAAATCCTTCAGTCCCTCATCCCAAAACCAGGAAGAAAAGGTTGTAGGTGGTAGAAAGATAACTGGCATTAATAAGAGAGAATCTATACTGAGACAGAAGTCGGTTCATTTGGAGAAAAGCTATCGTACATATGGTTCTAAAGGGGCTTCCAGAGCAGGAAAACTCTCTAACTTTGGTGGTTTACTTTTGGATAAGAAACTAAAGTCTGTTTCAGAATCTACCGGCATCAATCTTAAAAATCTCTCTCTGAAAATGAGCAAGGGGGTGGGGATCGGTTTGCCTCAGGACAATATAACCGATAATGGCTCCACACAAATTGGACTCCCCTCTTCTTCAGTATTTAATACAGAAACTGCTGATAATAGCATTTCTACATTACCACAAACCAGCATCCCACTTATGTTGCCTTCAGTAGATAGCCCTCCTGCGTTATTAGCAGCCGAAACTGAATTATCTCTTTCACACCCACCAAAAGGCAATGATGCTCCAATGCCTGATTATTCTAATCCTAGTTTTTCTGCCATACCATATGATAAGTCATTCCGGCAGTGGATCTCACATGCTAAAAAGGATGAAACAATTTTGAAGCTGGTTCCAAGGGTGCATGAGCTGCAGAACCAGTTGCAGGAGTGGACAGAATGGGCTAATCAGAAGGTTATGCAAGCTGCTCGTAGACTGGGTAAAGACAAGGCTGAGCTGAAGACACTTAGGCTAGAGAAAGAAGAAGTAGAGAGGCTCAAAAAGGAGAAGCAAACATTGGAGGAGAACACCATGAAGAAGCTTTCAGAAATGGAGAATGCTTTGTGCAAGGCCAGCGGGCAAGTAGAAAGAGCTAATTCTGCTGTGCGTAGGCTGAAGATGGAGAATTCTAATCTGAGGCATGAGATGGAGGCTGCAAATTTAAGGGCTGCTGAGTCAGCTGCCAGCTGTGAAGAGGTATCAAAGAGAGAGAAAAAGACACTGATGCAGTTTCAGTCCTGGGAGAAGCTAAAAACCTTGTTTCAGGAGGAGCTTGTAACCGAGAGACGCAAGTTGACACAGCTACAACAAGATCTTGAACTAGCTAAAGAACAGCAAGATCTACTTGAGGTACGTTCATGCTAAGCAGGAAATAGCTAGTATATCTGACGTCATTTTCCATCTTCTTTTAACTAATGATAAGAATATTATAAGATGCATCCTGAAGAACTAATTACTAACATCTGATCTCTGACTAAATTTAAGAATACAGTGGGTTCTCTATGTTAACCAGTCTGTGATTGTATTGGTATTAGAGGGCAACATCTTTTACTATAGTCCTTCCACAACTTTGTTAGCTTGAAAAGTCATTTTTTGACCTACCTGTACATTGAGTGTTTCTAGAAGATCCCTAACGTATGTAGAGCTATGTTTAAAACTTAGAGGAAGTTGGAATATTGTTCCTTGTCAGGATCTGAGGTCCCGTTTGGTTTGTTGGATCGGATTTGGAATTGAATTCCATTCCAATCCCGTGTTCGGTTTGAAGGATTTCCTAAATTCGAAATCCCGGGATTTCAATCATATGATTTTGACATCCCACGGGTATGGTTGGTATTTCACGGGATTTCGTAGGATTTCTATGTAAAAACATTTGTTTTGTAATAATCAAAAAATAAAAAGGTAATTTAATTATTTATAATTTGTTTTTATAAACTATTTATTTCAATTTCACTCCAAATCCTACACACCAAAGATTAAAATCCTTCCAAATCCAAATCCCTCCAATTTTAAATCCTTCCACAAAATCCAAATCCCTCAAAACCATTCCATCAAACCAAACGCCCCTTGAGTGTTTAGAACTAGTGATTCTGCCAGGATTCTTGGAGTTTGGTTTCCCAACTGTAAACTAAAAGGTATGTCCTAAAGTAACAAAAATTCTAATATTGAAGAAAAACAAATGGTTTAAGGATAGGCTACTTGAAGAACTTGAAGAAGTTTGACGTACAATTACCCACACTGCTTGCTACACCCCTCGAGCCTGCTACGAGCCAAAGCTCAAAAGTATTGCACTCACTATGTTATGTAAAAAATTCAATGGCTGGTTGTGATAATGAATATTATTTGTTAGAAACTAGTTTTATGCAACGGTAATGATAAGTTTTAGAATTCAGAATGTATGACTAATTTAGTGTCTGCACATGACAAGCATCCCATTGATCAAGGAATTCGAATCCTACAAGTATGTGGAGAATGTAAATGCTTACTACCCTTAGCCTGAAATTACATAATTAGCCTGGTGAAAGAAACGAATAGTTTAGACTTCAGAGTGTCAAACAGAGCTGGAGTTTTGGTACTACTGCAGTAATATCTTGATGCTAGGCAAAATGACAATTTTTCCAAGTGTTCAGCTAAATTACCTTCTAACAGAATCAATGCTAGAATTTTCTTCAATGAACAAGGTCACAGTAGCACCAATTTGCACTGAGCACAATTATTATATTGTGCAAATATCGAAATAAACTATAACCGGCATCACCAACAATTCAAATTCACCATTCATGCAGACAAATGAGCAAGACCATAAGTCAAACCAAAAGAAAGGCACTTAAGCATTCATGGATGTTATGGGCTCAAAAAATTTAGTTGTCCAAATTTGACCACTATATGTTTATATTCTATAAATTTACTCTGATGTCTCACTGAAATCTGTCAAAATATGGTTTCATGTGACCCCTTGGGATCCTTAGCAGGTAAGACCATGGTTGAAGCTCTTCTTGTCTGGTTCATTTGTGTGTTTATATATTGACCCTTCTATCATCTAAAACAGAGGTCTAACATCTCATATAGATGCTCCCTTGCTATCAAGTATCCAAAGTGATATTTGCCAACCTCCCTGTTAGGATAGGCCTTGAATTTTCTTTGTTTATGTATATAGATTGAAAACTGGCAGTTGAGGTTTAAGGGACATGGGCATGTTGCAAATTCAGTTCTTATTTCCTGGAAAACATGACGTGCAGTATGAACATGTTTCTTCAGCATAAATGATTGTTAGGTTTCAGTCTAGAATCATGGTGTAGGAAGTCAGTTTGAAATGATTTATTCTAGAATTTGAGCAAAAAAGGCTGATTACTGGCAACCCCGACCTGCCCCTCATGGAACCTCGCCTCCTAAGAACCACTTGTGAGGAGGCATTTCGGAGCCGACTCAGCTAGCGCAGGGGTTCAAGCCTGTCTCCCTCAGGATTCGAACTTGAACCTGTTGTGTATTTCAGCAAATTCACCGGGGCCCTTTGCCAATGGAGCAACACGCCCAAGAGCTATTCTAGAATGGTGCCAATAATCAACATTGTGAAAGTGAAGTTATGTGAGAAGCTGTGTAACAGACACATGATTATAGAGAAATTAAAGAAAGATGATTCATTTATAGGAGCTCACTTCATCTCTGTCAAATAATAATATGCACAATTTATATAGTGTTAATAGATATCATGAAACTTAAATTAATGAAATAATACAAGTTCTTTACAAACTCTCCCGTATTTAGTTGTTATCCCTTTTGCCAGTCTTTTATCCACCTGCAAGTAAAACGCAACCATTTCGCATATAAGATCTACCTTACTGCTTGAGGTAAATCGTTGCCAATTTCTTGCTTTAGGACTTGCATGTGTGTACTTAATTTTTTTTTTCTCTTTTTTTAATTATATACTCAAACAAAAAGATTTATCGAGCGACATACTTATAAGTTATACCTTAATAATCATATGGGGAAGGTTCAAATGGGAATCATAAATATTTTGAGATCCCGGGAACCAACTATTTCATGTATATTCATGATGAGTAACCCCGTATTCATGCATTTTCATTATGAATATCATGTATTTTTATTATGAGCGACTTTCATCATGAATATCTATCGCGCCATTCATCATGAATAATTGGTCCTAGGTTCTCAAAATATTTACGGAGCTCGTTTGAACCAGCCTGATAATCATATAAGCTACAGTAGTAAACTTTTTTTTTTTCTCCTAGCTACCATTGATTTGAATGTTTCATCCCCAAAAATTAATTTAATTGCAGGCCCGATGGAAGCAGGAAGAAAAGGCAAAAGCAGAATTGGTTAGCCAGGCCAATTCGTATAGGATAGGACGGCTAGAAGGTGAAGCTTCGGCTAAATTGAGGGAGGATTTAACGAGATTAAAAGCAGATAAGAATCTGCAAAGATACAAAGAAGATATCGAAAAACTGGAGAAGGAAATCTCTTTGTTGAGACTAAAAGCCGATGCTTTGAAAATAGCCGCTTTAAGAGATGGAAGTTACGCTAGTAAATTAGCCGACACCAAAACCTCACCTTCCCAACAGGAATCTCATACACTTTATAGTATCTCCAAGACGGTCAACGGCTCCCGTGGTGGAGGTGTGAAACGCGAACGAGAGTGTGTTATGTGTTTGTCGGAGGAAACATGTGTCGTTTTCCTGCCGTGTGCCCATCAAGTCGTGTGTACAACATGCAACGAGCTTCATGAAAAGCAAGGAATGAAAGACTGCCCTTCTTGTAGAGGACCCATCCAGCGCCGTATTTGTGTACGCTATGCTCGTTCTTGACGTATTTCGGTCGAGTTTTTCGTTCGCAAAATAATCGCTTTTTTTTGCTTGATTTTGTTTTGCGTGTAATTGGCCTATTTACAAACGTTTGGACATTTGAGCTTGCTGGCTATTATGATTGCTTAAAACAAGTGAGTCTATTTTTGGGTTTTATGTAATAAAGACATCTTTTCTAGCCATGGGCTAGGGTTTTCTCGGGTTTGTATTGATTTCGATTAGTGATGGCCAAAAACCAGTCCCGGGCCTGATGAATTCTTTAACCGGTCATAACCGGTCCCGGTCCCGAAAAACGACGAAAAGTGTAACCGTGCTGTAACCGGCGGTCCTTCAACAGGTCCCGGTTCTGGTCCTCCGGCGGTCCCGGGTCGGTCCAGGCCGGTTTGGCCATCACTAATTTCGATTGACTATGCGTCACGTTGGAGAGATGGGTAATTAGGACGGGTTAACAGTTAAAGGGACCGGACTGGTTACCTTAACCGGGACTAAATTATAACTGGTTCGGTAACTGATTGGTTCACTGATTTGTCCGTTTCTAGTTACGTGTACATTTTTTATTGGAGAAAAATGTACTTCTATTTAATTCTTATTTTAGGAGGGAGATTACTTTCATTTGATTTTTGTTTTAAAAACATTAAAAAGAAGAGCCTATAATTTTTATTTAGTCATCACGTTTTATTGATTAATTAAACATTTATTATTGGCTCTTTATCAGGTAAGAGACATGGTTTTTATCAACAACATTACCATCCTAGCAAGTGTGATTTTTGTTCGGTTACCATTTATCGAATAAGATGTTATTTTGATAACTGATAATCTTATCGATTGACTGTTAAGATAAGTAAGATTTTTACCCGATATATATATATATATATATATATATACCGAATTTGTATTTTGTATTAATAAACAACCAGTCAGACATTGTCTCAGATCCTATTTATATTTAACTAGTGTCTGGTAATGCGTGTTGCGGTGATATTTTAGTTTAGAAAAAAAAATACAAATTTTGTTTACATTGATTGTGCAAGTTCATCTGTAATTTTAACAATGATGAATTTGAGTGTATGGATAATTGTTATCCTTAATTTGGTTTTTAAAGATTGATTTTGATCAATATGATTATGAATATATATTAGATATATGCATATTCCGGTGGAGACATTATATTTGATTTGTTCATCAAAGATTTATGGCAAACTTTGTACCCCTCATACTATGTCCAATCAATGAACATATATTGCACACATTCATATATATTGAAAACTTACATGTAATATTTAATCTACAAAGTTTTTTTGTTGTTGTAAATCTATGAACATATATACATAATAACATATATCATAGTGAGGTACTTTAAAAAAAGAAATCAATTTTTGATATGTTTGAAAAAGTGACCACATGAATGATAATAAATAAAGAAAGGAAATAAAACTGGAGATTTTATTACCCATTTTGTGAGTAATAATGACATATTAGAGTATTTGTATAAATACCCAATTATTCTTTTAGCATTTTTGAATAATTCATGCGAAAAATGCATAGAAATGAGAATTAATGTGTATTGATTGTAATCAAAAAAATCTTTAATTTACGATTCAAGATAATAACAATAAAAAATATATAAATTTTTTTAATCAATTAATGAAGTACATTGATTTTCTAACAAAGAAATGTATGAAAGAAAATATAAATATGAAAGATAAAAATTTTAATTTTGATAATATATACATGATATATCGATTTAAATTAGAAAGAAAAATGAAAAGGTTTTACAATTAATGTGATGCATTAACATGGTAAAAACTAAATTATTTGAAGTTCAGACACGTAACACGGTACTCTTTCTATCACTATCTTAATACAGAGATGGTTTCTAATGATTTAAAAATACATTAAATATAAGAGAAAATTAAAATATGAAATATAGTCTTTCATTAAACTTGGATTTCAACTTTGCTTTATATATTATTATTAATAAAATAAAATAACATAAAATGTTTTATTGAATTAATGTTAGAAATAATGAAAAGTTTAGAAATATGTCTATTTTATGCAATAAAAAATAAATGCTCAGAAATTAACCGTGTTGAGTTTAGATTAAAAATAAATCAAAATGAGGGGAAAAAATATAAATATGATCGAGTCTTCTCATTAATTTTCTTTATCATGTATATTTAAATGTATTTAATTGTCATAAAAATTTCAATTATATATAATGATTCATAATAATTAAAAAAGAACATAAAAGTTAGATCAATTAATGAGGTATATTAATTTGTAATAATTACAAAAAATACATGAAATATTTAATCAATATATAGATTTAAAAAACTAAAAATTGAATAAATAATAGTATTATATTCTTTTTCCCCTTTTTATAATATTATATTAATGTGTTAAATAAAAATGAATTGTACATAAAGCTAAAAGTTTTTAATTATATTGATTGTTAAGCTAATAAAATAAACCATAAATAAATAAACTCGTGTAAAATAAATAAAAATGAAGCGTAAATAAAAAGTCGTTTTTAATTGTATTGATTGTTTTTAAATAAAAAATAAGCGTAAATAAACATTAAGTGTTAAACTAACAGATTTCTTAATTAAGAAATGTATCGTTTTCTTATATTGTCTATTCATAGTACAACAACAATAGTTTTCTTACACCGTCTATCGACCAACAGGGATGAAATTATCGTAAAGTGAGGTTCTGTTGACTCCCATAAAACTTGGAGTTCATGAAGGACCGACATTGAGCTTTGACTCCTGTTCTCTATGGCATAAACCCCTGCTCGACTTTCTAAAATACAATACAAATGTGACAATTTTTGAAAGCAACCTCTTTATTGGGCTATTCGTTTTTTTAGTAATCAGGATGCTAATGGACTTTCATGGTTGCTCAAACTCCTACTCATACTGAAATTCTGCTTGTAAGGGAATGTGAGGTCCTTCGCCTTTTGGAAGCTAAGCTATGACGAGCGCGACCACCCTCAGGGTTCAAAGAAGGATTTTGGAATCGAATGTCAGAACTTGTGATTACAACTGTTAATTCCCCAGAGACAATGAAACAAGATCTAGGGATATGGTTTATGAGTATCATAGGTTACTCCTTCAATATGAATACGTCTCTATTCATTTTACTGGGTAACAAGCTACTGAGGTTGCTTATGCATTGGCACAAACATCTCGGTCCACATCTTGTCTCACTTCGTATTTTGATATGCCAAGTTTTCTAACTCGCCTTATAAACAATGTATATTTTTGGAAGCTTCTTAACGAAAGTCTCCCTTAAAAAACTACTGACCCTTAAAAGCGTTTTTTGAGATCATGTTTCTCAAATAAAAAGACGTTCATTTTTAGACACGATTAATTCTTTTAGAACATCTCCAACAAATTTTTCAAAATGGAGATTTTTGTTCCAACAAATTTTTGGAGGGTGAAATTCTCCAAACTTGGAGAACTCTTTTTCTCCATTTTAAAGAAGGTTTTAGAGAATATGTTAAAATTATAATCATCAAGATCTTCGTTTTAATGAACTTGTTGGTGATGCTATTAAGAAGTTATTCTTCAAAAAGAAATGTTTACGACTGCATGAATCAAATTATAAATCATAGACGCAGACGACCTTTAGTGCGACCTAAGTCGCAAGGCATGACATCCATACACCACTAAGTCCCCTCAAGTGTATTATCACACGTGATAAGGATAATCTCGCGTTCTCGTAAAATGAAGGTGTTCTTGTTTGAACCTCCACATGTTAAGACATTCACCTAGGCGGAGGTTCAAACGAGAACACCTCCATTTTACTAGAACATCCTTATCACATGTGATAATACACTTGAGAGGACTTAGTGGCGTATGGATGTCGTGCCTTACGACTTAGGTCGCACTAAAGGTTGTCTGCGTCTATGATTTAATATCACATGTAATTGTCTTGATGGATTATATTATCACGTTAATAACACATATACCAGATGTGATAGTACATGTGAAGGGGCTTAGTGGTATAAGGGGGACTTAGCCTACAACCTAGATCGCGTCAAAAGTCGTCGACATCTTTGATTTAGTATCACATGTATTGGAATAATAGTATCACATGTGATTGTTTATGATAAAACGATGTTCTCACGATCTCGTAAAATGATATATATATATATATATATATATATATATATATATATAGGGGCAGGTTCAAATGCAAACCGTCCAATTCTTACGAACCGTGTGAACCAAGTTTGACCAATAAGATAATTCCATTTATTTTTAATTAAATTTAATTGATAAGGTTATTTATGTCATTTTACAAAAAAATTTGATAATTAAAGAAGTTAGTAATATATTTTATTTAAGGCAAATTTATTAGGAGAAAGTRTGAAACATGGTAATGTTTTAAGCTTTTATTGTAATATATTATTAAAATCTTTAATTTTAAGAAATTGCAATGGAATGAGGATTCTGGTATCTTGTACRATTAAAAATATGAAGTTGTATGCAATAGATTCATGATAGTTCATGTATCGCAGTAACAGTGCTTGTGCAATTTTTTTTAATGGAGAAGGTGAAAAGATTTCGGTGGATAATACTTAATGAAATCGGTTCATGATAGTGAAACGTTTTCATTGTTGTAACAAACTCGAAATCTAATGAACTACTTTCATTGAGATCCATGAAAAAATGTATATGAAGTTGTTGCGTTTAGATGTTATAATAGTCATGATACTGTTGCATAAATCGTTTTGTTACTTTTGAAATCAACGTATCACGAAATGGGTGCATTATGGAGTAGATGGATTTAAAAGAGTTAATGAAATAGATTGAGGTGAAACAGTTAATGAAATAGATTCATGTGAAAAGTTAAGAAAGTATAGCTAGTTTAATGCACTACTTTCATCATGATACATGATGCATTGTATCAGAAGTTGAACCGCTCTTTTGTTAGAATGGTCATGAAACGAGTGCATATTGGATTTTGTTCTTTTTGAAATATACGTTTAATGAAACGGGTGTATAATGGGATAGATTGAAGTGAAATATATAACGAAATAGTTTCATGTGGAAAATGTAATGAAAAAAATTCAAAAAAAAATTTGAATTTAGGAATTGTTAATTATGTTTACCATTATACCCTTATTGATTAAATAAATTGAATTTTTATTTTTATTTTTTTTTAATTTCCATAAATAAAGCCTACAAATCTTGACCATTGATCAAGAAAATGGATGGTTAAGATTGGTTCACACGGTTTACACAAACGGAGAGGGTTCGCATTTGAACGCTCC